TAATATATATATATATATAATAATAATAACTATAACTATAATGATACTATATATATATATATATGTGTGTGTGTAGTTACTACACACACACACAACAACACACAATACACACANACACACAACACACACACACACACACCACACATATATATATATAACACACACACACACACACATATGTTATATATATATATATATTTACATAGCATCGACACATACATTCACATCATCAATTTCCTAGCGGATTGAATTGGAAAAAATTCCTCAGGGGATACATCTCATGGCGAACACACATACTAGTTCAACCCTGCTTACACCTCATGGTATCCTTCCTGTCGAAAGACTTCGCTAACCTGCAATATACTGCCCATGCCCACCTGCTTATCAGGTGCTGTGCATGCTCTCTTAATAGTACGAATTTAAACTACATACATCTCGTACGTACCTTCTTAGCGAGCTCTGAGAAGAACAAGGTGGCCAGAGATCGGATGCACAAGTCCTCATCTTCCAGACACACCGCTATATGACTGATCTACAAACCGGAAAGTATAGAAGGAAGACGATGTCCATAAGAAATGGTAATGCAAGAGGAAGGGCAGGGTATGATCACGACCAAAGAGCAACGCAGATTACGGTGACAATCGTACGCTACTTTTGAGTGCACATATGTAATGTGTAGCCTTATATCGAAAAATCTGCATCGTAAAGGAATTCGTGGCATAGTATTTACAATCACTTTAAATGTGAAACAATAGCTGATAACGTACAGCGCAACAGCAGCAAATAATGGGGATGTCATCGCCCTTGATACGATCTGGCACTAAAAGACATACTATTACATGGCGCGAAATGCAGTGACCAGATGCTAATGAGTAAAAAAAGTCCAGGATCCATGCTTCCACCCTCAAGCAAGATTATATATATACTTAACTACTCAGATATAAAATGCACATACAGGCAATGTATTATAAACGTCAAACACACACCAGTGCGTACCTGCCCCTTGATTTTGATCTGATCGTTGAGAATGAGGTGGGTGAGCACCAGCAAGGTGTTCTTTCGCACACTGATGACCGGATCCTGCAAGCACAGAGGGATAGGATGGAACTAATTACTACATTGCATATATCTACCCTAAAAATCAAATTGGAAGGCTCTGAAGTAGATGAGGGGAGTATAGGATAGAATAGCTGTTGGCATACCAGCCAAAAAGGGGAACATACCCACCCTATTCAGGAAACAGGATTGAGGTGTAGGTGTATGAGAGGGGATTGGTACATGCGGTTACTGTGATTTATACGCGATGATAACAGTCAAAATTTTCTTCCGACACAGTAATTTAGAGATATCCAAGCGTGCTTGGTGGTGAAATTTGCCAAGATGAGGCGAATTGTACTGTGTGACTAGTGTGTGCCACGAGGTATGCAGGATGAATAGGGCATCTGCTTCACATAGTGGTGGTAGCAGATCCAATCAGGCCGAGGGGACGCATACTCGGCAACAAAATAACCCATACGACGTACCTTTCTCAATCGTTCGTACAGCTTTGCGGTCCACGGTTCAACGAGATTTGGATGACGTTGTGCTAGATCTCCAAGAGAGATCATTACATTGCTTCGTACTAGCGCCTGTGACGACCGAAGGAGTAGGGCATTGATTCGGATCAGTATTGTTGCGGAACGGCACAAATCAAGGATACAGTTGGAAGCAGAACGAGATGGGAAGGCAATGCCGTGACAATTGCCTTATTTCATGCAAGTAGGGGACATAATCCTCCTCGATTTGCTTTTGAAAACAACAATAGAGTATATATCTGTCACTGGAGCATTGTTTTCTATCTGTTCAAAGGCATTGAAAATCGTAGGTGACCCTACCCGTCCAACGAAGTTTTCAATAGCTTCCAAAATGGACACACCTAAGCGCGGAAGGGGTTCCATGTACAACGATACAACACAAAACGGACAACACTGATACTATAGACTCTAGACCAACCACCTTACACCGTGTGATACCCGCATACCAATACCCACAATACTCTCCTAGCATCCTGTCACGTGGAAAGTACATCTTAAAATCACTAATGTTTTAGTCATCGACAATTCTGAGATCGGGTCACCCGAATTCTCACGTTCTAGCATTTAGAGCACCCATGCCCATGTATCCTTCACAAGACCCACAGGTATATACAACTAGATACTGACCTGCTTGCTCTTCTCCAGAAGTGTGAAGATCACCTGTAGCTGGTCCTGACAGAACTGTTGCGACACGCACATGAACTTGCACATTGCTAGCGCTGCAATAGGCCCCAATAAAGGATCACTGTGTCTGGTGCGGCAGGTAGTGATGATCAAGGGTTTGAAGGCCGCTAGCAAACTCCCGTCACCTGCAGCGTAGGATTGTAGTCTTTAGGGTTTGCTTGGTTATGTGGATGCAACTATGAGCAATATAGTGGGAGGACGACTGTCAAAAGCTCGACCTATAGTATAGTGCGCCTTATCTAGTGTTTATATAAATACATACATAAATATACATATAGGTTGTATGTACCCTTTGGAGTGTGTAGTTCGTCTATGCGTGCCAACAACTGCCTGAGCATGATAATCACTAAGTATACTTGAAACGGGCCACAGCAACATGAGCCCGAAACGATAACTGGGGCTCTTCTACAGAAGGTATCTAAACGTGAACCAAAGACATCGTAAAGTGGTACCATAAAAAACCATGCATACGAAACAACGGACAGATGTTGAGCACGAGTATACTAAAGCACACCCTTTGTCACACATCGGTAGCAACGTCAACGAATGCACAGACCAACACAAGAAGGGGCAATAGACAAAAGTAAGGAATCAATACACACATACAGCCATATGCATGGTAAACAGTTGATACAGCTATTCATACCTGCGACGAGCTCGCTTTCAATGATCTCAGCAATTTTCTCAGTCTCCGCATCTTCCGCTTGGAGACCCAGGTCTTCTACCATGTCCTGTCAATACGAGTATGTAAATGGAGATATGTATGTAGTCAGAAATTTGTTAACCTGTGTGCGCTGTCGTGTTCGTTTATATTTGTGTGCACATATCCGACTGAGTATGTTCAGAGACTGTGTACATATACATGTTCTAGAGATACTCTATAGATCAAGCCATATTTAAAACAGAACCACCGAAGCTTACGCAGGGATTATTTAGGCTATGCTTACTAAAGCTGCCGTGAGAGATGTGTGTGTGTGTGTGTTGGGGGGGGAAGGCATATATTAACAATTGTACTGGAAAATAGGTGAATTGTTTACTTGTCCACACCACCCGTTGCGACAAGCCCTACACCGACTGTGTGAACTACATTTCACACAGTGTAAAGTGACTATGTATCACCTCACACATACAAGATGATCCCGGAATTGGATGGAGGCAAGATTTCTGCTCCAGACCACATCCGAATACAATACAATACCCTAACATCAATATACATACATCGTCTTCGTCGTGGGCCGCGCTCTCTTTCTTGCGTTGTTCTAGCAGCTCCTTTGCCGCCTGATGTCTCCTCTTGAGCGTCAGTTCAATCTCCTCACACAACACTAGCTGTTTGAATGCCGTATGCCCAACAGTAAACAACAGGCGTGCGAGTATGACCTTAGCTATACCGCTTGCATTGGACGAGATGGCCAGGAGCTTGGCCTGAGGTATGGGAGTGCATGGGGCAGCATCGTCGTCAATTTGCTCCGGCACTTCTTCTTCTTTCTTTACGGTTACGTACCTACGGGAATAGAGCAGAAGGGAGAAAACAGTATGAGATGTGCAGTGTGATTCAGGGTTATTCTTACTTTGCTGTTAGCTGTGTGCGCAAAAAGATCGGGAGAATGGTGCTTGGGATGCAAAACATCAATTTGTAAAGTGTGATGTGATTTGTCGCCACAGAGTGTGGTTTGTACACAGACACAGACACAGACATAGACATAGACATAGACAAACACTAACACTAACACAAATACAAACACAAACACAAAGACACAGACACAGACGCAGACACAGACACAGACACAGACACAGACACAGACACAGACACAGACACAGACACAGACACAGACACAGACACAGACACAGACACAGACACAGACACAGACACAAACACGACCTGACCTGAACCCACACACACA